TTTTTTTTTTTCAACCCTTTTTTTATTTTTTTCGACGTAATTTCGAGTGTTCGAAATTACTAGAAAAAAATTAGGGACAAGCCCGCGAGGGCTAGGAAAGAATATTTTCTTCTAGAATCCTTACAGGAAACCCTCAAACACCTAACTCCCTAAGAAGCCTAAGATATATTGATTTTAGACCTGAATAATAGATCTATAAAAGTTAAAATAGAAAGTAAAAAGAATGACGAACCAATAACACTTTTTATTTATTAACCTTTTTTTGGTTATATCAATAATAAATTGATTAACCAAATTAAGTTCAGCTTTACATATATAAAACATCCCTTGTATATTCATATGAAATGAATATACATGTGAAATTATCATCATCTGTGTAGTGAATCTTATAAGACTTCCCATTCCATGGATTCTTAGGTGAACCTCCATAGAATGATTTTCTTTATCACCATTGCATGGAGCCTAAGGGGAGTTCCCCCCCTTACGAACCCAGGCGCTTCCTCAGGTAATCTCCTCCAAATGAGGTTATCTTCGAAGCCAGGAAACGGTAATGTTCACAGAATAATAAAAGCTAAAGTATAGAGATACCTTAACTGTAAAATTTAAAAGTCCTATAATTACCAGTACTACTTTCTCCAAGAACAAAAAATGAAAAGTATTTTTTCACTTACCCCATATTCAGAAAAAGAAGGCTCTAAGTAAAAATTTGTAAACTGAATAAACTTAATCTCATATTCAGATAAAGAAGACTAAGTAAAAATTGTTAACTGAAACGGGCGTTCTCTGGATCAGCCAGAATGAAGAGAGTACCCGGAAAAATTTTATTAAAAAATAAAATGAGCCTTTTTCCTCCATAGCGAGCTAAATTTATAGTTAGGTAACGCCTCCTATACCCCATTAGCCAAATGCTTGGATGGACTCGTACTACTTACAACGAAATCGACTTTATCATGAATAAGCCAATTCTGAAGCTACTTTGGAAAAGAAATTTCTCCGAAGGCCATTTCATGGAGACTTAGGATTTCACCCTAAGGACCCGACATTATGTAGGTCCTAAAGACCAACATAAATATAACGAAAAGACCGTACGTCATAAATATGAATTCGGGTATTATTGATAATCATCATCTTTATTAGAATAAGCCAATTTATCAACGAATTTCGGAAATCTACCCATCTGGTAACCATTTCATGGAGACTTAGGGGAAAGACCCCTAAGAACCCGGAGATTATCAAATATCCCAAGGATATTAGATAATCTGTTAATGAATATCCCAAGAATATTCATTCTATGAAGCAACCTGGCCTACGGCTTAACCATTCAATTAAGAATGATCTAGCCTAATGGCAACAGAAATTATGGACAAAAAAATGCCATTTCATGGAGAATTAGTGGATACCCCTAATAACCTCCATAGCCGATTCCCAAGAATCTTTTACTGTACTTTATTAAACTTATTTCTAAGGAGTTTTTATTTTGTTTAATAACCTTATTTTACAAAAAATAAGGTTATTAAACTTATTTCTAAGGAGTTTTTATTAACTGTTTTTTTTTCTTTCACAACTTAAATTGTCTTATTTCTAAGTATTTTTTTTTCTACTTGTATCTGTATTATCTTGTTATCATCTATTTCAACTTCTAATGCTTTACCTAAAGAATCCTCAGAAATTGATATAGGTATACTTAACATATTATTAAATTTAAATATTTCAGATTTTGCTATAAATCTATCTTTATCCTCGGATAATAATTTAGTTTTGAAGTCATCCCTCTTAAATTCAGTCAATATTTGTTTATCAAATTTCCTAAATACTAATTCAACGTATTCAATATTATCCTCTGATAAATCATATGAAGATAAGTATATCTCTAATTTTTAAAATATTAAACAACTCATCTAAGTTATTCTCATTTTCATACATAAAACCAAATTGATTACCTGCCATAAAATAGGAATCAACATTATACCTTACCTTAGTGAATACAGTATATGCTACATCTTTAGGAATTGTTTTTACAATTTTAATAAAACTATGCCTAGATAATTCTTCTATATTAAATTGAATAGTAAAAGGTTTATCCTTACTTCGAATATAACGTATAGGAATCGGCGCCAAAAAGGGATTTTTATCTATCGCTGTAGATAAGTGTCTAGTGAAGTGTGAAAGACGACGATATTGGTCGTACGGGAAATAAGTAAATATATAATTGTGTTTTTTTGATAGGTTTAACATCCTATACAGTTTAAAGTTTAATTTTTTCATCATAATATGTTTGAATCCTCCCTATGGGTAATCAACCGTTCAGGATTAGATAGCCTACTCACGAAGCTCCAAAAGAGGTGAGAAAACATCAGCCAGCAGGATTACTAACCCTCCCTGCTTTGTCCTTCTTAACGCTTAGAACAGCGTAATCAATCTCAGATTAATAGTTCATAATACTCATAAGAGGATATTATAATGAGTTACAACCATCGGTTCCACAGCCACTCACTCTCTACATTTAAAAATATCCTTACGATATTTTCCCTCTCAAGATTTAAAAATATCTTTACGATATTTTACCTCAAGTGGATTAAGGAGCGTCATGAAAGTTTTCCCTCTAGCCACAGAGTTTTCAATTTATGGATACATGAACAGTGTATAAGCCAATAAATATACTTTAGTAAAATGAACCTAATACATTTATACCATAAAATGAGCGTTTTCTCACGCTAGCTTATTTTTTGAAGAAATACCCATATTTTAAAAAATTTAAATATGGAAGTATTCCTCCATAACCGGGAGAAGTTAACAAGGCCTCCGGATTCCTAGTCCCCGGGGCTAAAAAAAATTAGGCATCGTTCACAATAAAAAAATATAGTACGGCATATGGCTTTATAAGCCTACGGCTAGGTTAATTATAAAATAAATTAATTTATTTTATAAACATGTGTGGATCTTGTAAATTTAGANAGATTAATGTGACTCCTTGCTCCCCATCTATTAATAGCTTTTCTACAAGCAAAGTTATATTATCTAAAAATAATCAATACAATAACCTTAATATAAAAACATCAGGGATTAGTATGTGATTTGAAAGATGATTTTTATCATCAAATGCCAAAGATATCGGTGTATTATATTTAATATATGCATTATTTGCAGGTTTAATTGGAACTGCTTTTTCTGTTTTAATAAGATTAGAGCTGTCAGGACCTGGTGTTCAGTATATTGCGGATAATCAATTATATAACAGTATTATTACTGCTCATGCTATTATTATGATTTTCTTTATGGTTATGCCAGCTTTAATCGGTGGATTCGGTAACTTCTTACTTCCATTAGGATTAGGAGGACCTGATATGGGATTCCCTAGACTTAATAATATAAGTTACTTATTATTAATACCTAGTATTGTTCTTTTCTTATTTGCAGGTGGAATAGAAAATGGAGTAGGTACAGGGTGAACTCTTGAGTGTAAGGAGTTGCTTTATGGTAACATAGAGGCAATAAAACTCTCCTCGATGCGTGAAAATCTTCCAAAAATTTTATACTACTCATGTTTTATTATATTAATAAATACGTACGTAAAAATGTATAATTCACGGAGACAACACGCCTGGGTAAGTAAATTTATCCATCAGAGACTTAACGGAGAGCATCCTTCATCTAGAAATTATTTTGAACAATGATTAGTTGGTGTTACAGATGGTGATGGTAATTTTTCTATAAATTATTCTAACGGTAAGTGAGGATTATCTTATAAATTAGTACAATCTAGATATAATCTAAGATTGCTTTATTATGTAAAAAAAGAGTTAGGAGTAGGTTCTGTAACTAAGGATAATAATAAAGGACAATTTTTTATAAGAGATCGTAAGCACATAGAAAATATAATATTACCTATTTTTGATAAATATCCTTTATTAACTAGCAAATATTTCGATTATCTTAGATTTAAGAAAGCTTTATGCATACTTAATAATGATAATATGAGTAAAGAACAAAAAGAAAAAGAACTTTTTATACTTAAGAATAGCAAAAAGGAAGATGATTACTTATCTCCTGTATGAAACAATATTTCTCTTCCTTTAACTGATATAAATATAATACAAGGAATAATGACAAAACCTTGAGTTATAGGATTTATAGAAGCTGAAGGTAGTTTTTATTTAGTTTCAAAAGATTCTAAGAGAATAGTTCATGGATTTGGTTTAACTCAAAAACTGGACAGAATAGTTTTAGAAAGTATAAGATTAATACTTCATATCCCTAGTCCAGTTAAATACAAAGAAATGTATAATCATTACATTTTAGATACTACTAATTCTAGGTCGATTGAAAATATCATTGATTATTTTCAAAACACAATGAAAGGTGTAAAATCATTAGAATATAGAATATGAGCTAGATCATATGTAAAAAATAAAGGAAATTATGAAAAATTAGCTAGTATTAGAGATACTGTTAGAAAAATAAGAAAACAATTACTAGAAATACCCACTAAAAAATAAAATATATTTCTATTGAAGGATGATAGTATAGTCCGAACAATAAAGAAATTTATTGCGTATAACATTAGTTAATAATATATTTATTAATGAAGTTATCAACATTATTGTTACCCACCTTTATCAGGAATACAAAGTCATAGTGGTCCAAGTGTGGATTTAGCTATCTTTGGATTACATCTTTCTGGTATCAGCTCCCTTTTAGGAGCTATGAATTTCATGACAACTACATTTAACATGAGAAGTCCTGGTATAAGATTACATAAACTAATCTTATTTGCTTGAGCAGTTGTTATTACAGCTATTTTATTATTATTATCATTACCTGTCTTAGCGGGTTGGTTTTGTTTATATTTTAATAGCTCTAGCCCTATTCCCCTTTGCTTAAATAAAAAACCTAAAACTGTAACTTTAGAACAAATACCTAATGAATTAAAAGAAGTATTAATAGGGTCGGCTTTAGGTGATCTTTATATTAGGAAAAGATCTAAAAATACTTCTTTACATTTCAAACAAAGCATTAAAAATGAACCTTATATTATTCATCTTTATACAATATTTCAAGAATTTTGTAAAACGACTCCCCAAATTAAAGATGCAAGACTTAAAGATAAAACCCATCAATCAATATTTTTTGATACATTGACTTACGAGGCATTTAATTACTACTATGACTTATTTTACAAAAATAAAAAGAAAGTAATACCTTCTAATATAGAAGAATTGTTAACCGCTAGATCTCTTGCTTACTGAGCAATGGATGATGGGAGTCCTGATCGTTCAGGGTTTGTTTTTAATACTAATTCCTTTACTTTGTCAGAAGTTGAGTTATTAGTTAAGGTATTAAAGAATAAATTTAATTTAAATTGTTCAATACATACTCGAAAAGATATGGCAATAACACCTTACTTGTTGTATATTAAAGCGGATTCTTGAAATAAGTTTATAACTTTAATAGAACCGTATATAATTCCACATTTTCAATATAAATTAAAATTAAGAGGTTCTTTTAAAAATAAACAGTAAACAATATAAGTTTTAATCTTTGGTATTTTATATTTACAGAGCAAGGAAATAAGCGACTAGATATCTAGTCGCTTAGTCTTTAAAGACAATTTAAGTAAAGCCGATTAGCGCTAGAGTATTCATAGTATATTCTGCTCGCTTTAAATTTGGCTATATTCTGGGACAAGTTATATAAAGATTAACTCAATCAGAAGGTAATTAGATAGTTACAATCTATCTAAGAACCTCAGAGACCACACGCCAAAATATCTTTATTTTGTAGAATTTTTGTATTTTACTCTGTGTATTGCTCTTAGATTTAGTCATACGAGTAAAAATGTAAACAAATCTTTTTTATTTAAAAATAAGGCCGGTAAACTTATTCTGCCGGCTCTAAATTTGGCTGTATTCTGGGAACCGTTATATAACAATATAACGCAATCAGCAGGTAATCTATTAAGTTTGAACTTTTTAGAGAACCTCAGAGGCCACACGCCAAAATATTTTGGTTGTAGTTTAGAAACTTTAACCTTTCCTTTATGTGCAACTTTTAGATCAATCCATACCGGCAACCACAATAAAAATTTAAACAAATCTCTTTTTAGTTATTATTTTACTGGGCTTATTGAAGGTGATGGTACAATAATTACACCAAAAACTTTGAGATCCCCTAAGGGTAAATTAAATTATCCTTCTATACAAATAGTTTTTCATTTAAAAGACTTACCTTTAGCTTTACTAATTCAAAAAGAATTGGGTGTAGGTTCGTTATCTAGAAAAAAAGGGGTAGACGCTTATATCTTAACCATAAATAGCTATGATGGTATATTATTCGTTATTTCATTAATTAATGGAAACATGAGAACACCTAAAATACACAGTCTTAATGCTTTAATAGATTTTTTAAATGAAAATAAAGGAGTTAGTATTGAAAAATACTCTATATCTAAAGAGCCATTAGATTCAAATTCATGGTTGTCAGGGTTTATAGAAGCAGATGCTTCTTTTCAAGTAAGAACAACTCTTTCAGGTAAATATCCTAAACTTGAATGTAAATTAGAAATATCTCAAAGACGATTAGATCATAAAGGATTTGATAATCTAGAGTTTTTAACTTATATTGCTGAGTTTTTAGATACCGAAGTAAAAAAAATCAGATCGGATAAACCAAACCCTGAGTATAGAGTTAGAACTACTAATATTAAAGGTAATATTCAAGCTAAAAATTACCTTTTAAAATACCCTTTGTTTGGAACTAAACATTTAGATTCCTTAGATTGAATGGAAGTAGTAAACATATTTGATAGAAAAGAGCACAATACAATACAAGGAAAGGAAAAAATAGTAAAAATAAAATCAGGTATGAATAATTACAGAAAAATTTTTACCTGAGATCATTTACAAAAATTCTACAACGTAAAAATATAAGATATGGTCCGATCAGGCATGAGAGTGTCTGCGTATCTGCACTAAGTTTAATAACTTTTTAAGCTAAAGAATAACTCTTTAAGCTATGGGATTTTATCCAGCAGATCAACAAAAATAATGGGAATTACTATGGTTCTTACTGATAGAAACTTTAACACTTCATTCTTTGAAGTAGCAGGAGGTGGTGATCCTATATTATACCAACATCTATTCTGATTCTTCGGACATCCTGAGGTTTACATTTTAATTATACCAGGTTTTGGTATAATAAGTACTACAATTTCTGCCAACTCTAACAAAAGCGTGTTCGGATACCTTGGTATGGTTTACGCTATGTGTTCTATTGGTATCTTAGGATTTGTAGTTTGAAGTCAATGGCTGGCTTTCCTTATAGGTGACTATAAGGTAATAAATTTCGCTATATGATTCTGGAACAGCTTAGTGCCTATAAGTACTTTTAATAGTGAAAATCTTATAGGCTATGCTCAATCAGCAGGTAATTTTAGTTTTGTGTCATCTTCTTTTTTAGTAGCGAAGGATACAAAAACGGACAAAAGCTCCTCAGAGACTACACGCGAAACATCTTTTAATTTTGATGAATATAGAAAAATATCAGATAAAAATTCTGATCAAGTATCTGACAATTGGTTAACTTGGTTTATTGGGTTTTCTGAAGGTGATGGTGCTTTTCTTACAGGAAAAGACAAACGTCTTGTATTTGTACTAACTCAAAAAGAAACTGCTATACTAAATCATGTGCATGAAACATTAGGTATTGGTAGGGTTAGAACATACGGTAATTTTAGTCGTTATCGTGTTGATGATAAAAAAGGTATACTTGTTCTAATTGCTTTATTTAATGGTAACTTGGTTTTAGATAAAAGAAAAGTCCAAGTAAAAAGATGATTAGATACTGTTAATATAGAAGAAAAAAATAACAATGTTCTTCCCATACTAAATAATAGTTGACTGTCAGGATTTATAGATGCAGAAGGTTGTTTTAATGTTACACTTTTTAAAAGAAAATCTATGACTTTAGGCTATCAAGTTAAACTAAGATTTATGATTGACCAAAAAGATAGCTTGGATAATATGCTCTTTATAAAGGACCAGTTAAATCTGTTTTTAACTAACAGAAAGCTTAAAAAAGGTACTATTGGTACTATGCATAGAATAGAAAGCAATTCATTTGTTAAGGTCCCACTTATAATTGAATATATCTATAGATTTAGATTAAAAACTAAAAAACAAGAGTCATTTGACAAATGAGTAACAGTTTATGAGTTAGTAAAAAACAAGGCTCACCTTACAGAAAAAGGACTTAATGAAATAAGAAAACTAAGTAAAGAGGTCAATATAATCACTAGTATTACAAAAAAAATTGGTGATAAACTTAATTAAAAGATGAAGATATAGTCCACAAAAGGTTTTTACCTTGTGCACCACATGTATACTGTAGGTCTAGACGTGGATAAACTTGTGTTCACGGAAAAAATCTTGCTATATGCTGGAAACTCTTCTATAAATAGTCCACTCATATTTATTATGCTCGGAATAATCTATTTATTTAAAAGACAATCAGCAGGAAACTTTGGTTTTAGTACAAAAGCTACGGCAGTTACTAAGAATACTTATACTAATTATAAAAATTTACCTTTAATATCTGAACATGTACCTATTCATAAAAGCAACCTAACAGACGACGAATTCGGCTGGTTTTTAGCTGGATTAATTGAAGGAGATGGTTGATTCGGACATAAGGAGTTACATATCATTTTTGCTGAAGAAGATATATCACTAGCTTATCTTATAAAAAAGCGAATTGGATACGGTAATGTATACAAGATTAAAAACAAAAAAGCGGTTAGATATATTTGTAAAAATAGCACTGGTCTATCTATTATCTTATCTTTAATAAATGGTAAATTGTTAAGTAATTTTAAGTATGATCAATTAATTAATCATAATTATAGTGAATTTTTTAACCTCACGTTATTACCACCTTTAAAAAGGCTAAGTCTAGATAATTATTGACTGGCTGGTTTTACTCAAGCGGATGGTTGTTTTCACATCAGTATTGCAAACAGTAAAACACATAAAACAGGGTTTAGTGTAAGATTGGAATACTCTTTAAAACAAAATGATAGCTTACCCTTAACTTTACTTTACAATGAGTTAAAGTTGGGTAATCTTTCTCAATATAGTACAGGTATTTGATGTTATAAAAGTACAGGATTTAAAACTGCATTTAATTTGATTAATTATTTTGATACATATAATCTTTTTGCTGGTAAATATAAAAGTTACCTTAAATTTAGAAAAGTATATATTATGATTACTGAAGGAAAACATTTAGAAGAAAAGGGTATAAAAAAGATTATAAGTATTGCAACCAAAGGGTCCTCAGAGACAAGCACGCAAGAAATTTAAAATATAATTTAAATTAAGATACTGTCCACATTAAAGCTTTTTGACAAGAGCTTACTTCACAGCTGCTACTTTAATTATTGCAGTTCCTACTGGTATTAAAATATTCTCTTGATTAGCAACTTGTTATGGTGGTTCTTTACACTTTATACCATCATTACTATTTGCATTAGGTTTTGTATTTATGTTTACTATAGGAGGGTTATCAAGCCACTTAGCTCTCTTTGCAAGTTATAAGATACTTTTTATACTTGTTATAAGCACTACTAAATGCTGGGAAGTACTGACAATAGGAATACTAAATATATCTCTAGCCCCGAGGGGCTTACCCTTTGGGAAGATCCCCGATGGGGCTCATCCCGCAGGGATAGTAAAAATTTCATATTTTGTACAATCAGCAGGTAACTTGGTGAATTATTCTGTTTGTATTATTAACAGAATAGTATACCCTTGCACCCCAGAGACTAAACGTAGTCCTCATAGACTAATGTATTATGCATTAGTATTGTGAGAAGATATAGTCCACACAATAAATTTCTTAATTTCATTTTTCTTTACAAATAAATATACTCCAAATCATTCCAATTTAGAACTTAATAGCTCTCCTCTAATAAAGTACGTTTCTACTGAAGCTGAGGATATGCGTAGTAGTAGTAAATATTTTTGACGTAGTACTTGTAGCCCTAGAGATATTACCCCTAGAGAACTATTACCGTGTGCGAATGATAGTGATAATATTTATAATGAGGAAGGAAAATTAAAACCTGTAAAGGTATATGATGATCTTAAATCAGATAGAGCTAGAATTTTTAAAGAATGTGCTAAGGTATCAGGTGTTTATTATTTAATAAATAACATTAATGGCCATACTTATGTAGGAAGTTCTATAAATTTAGCTGCTAGAATGAAAAACTATCTTAACAATAGTTATCTACAAAGTAAAACAAATTCTAATATGCCTATTACAAAGGCTTTACTTAAGTATGGTCATTCTAACTTTTCTTTTTGGATTTTAGAGTATGTTAACTCTGACCAGTTAGCTATAAGAGAAACTCTATATATTACACAAATTCTTCCTTATTATAATGTATTAAAAAAGGGTTATTCTTCTTTAGGGTACAAACACACGGAAGAAACTAAAACTCTTCTTTCTAATTTAGCTAAGAATCGGGTACATTCACCTGAAACTAAGGCATTAATAGTAAAAGCTCTAACAGGTCAGAACAATCCTTTTTTCGGTAAAAGTCATACCATGGAAAGTATTAGGCAAATCATTAAAAATAAATCATATAATCCTGTTTACATTTACGATTCCTATAAAAATTTAATAGCTATTTATCCTTCAGTAAAAACATTGTCTAAAAAGGTTGGTGCGAATAGTACCACAATCGTTAATTATATAAAAAGTAAAGCATTGTTTAGAGGAGAATGGTATTTTACTAATATTCCTTTTAACATTGATGATACCCCTATAATAAAAGATTGAACCCTTACAGAATGTGACTTATTGGCTAAAGAAATAAGAAGCAGAATTGGAATTACAAAAGGTGTTTTTGTTTATGATAAAAACCAAAATTTTATAGCTAGGTACAAGGGAGTAACAGAAGCTGGTAAAATACATAAAGTTAGTCATCTTACTGTAAGAAGATATGCTAGTGTGAACGGATTACATTCTTCAGGTTACTATTTTTGCTTTGAAAGATTAGAAGCAAACTGTGAAAAATCCATAGTTGACACACAAGATAAAGACTAAAAAAAATGAAATTAAGAAATTTATTATTTGTAAGTGGAGTTGTTCTTGCGAACGCATCACTTGATATTGCCTTCCACGATACTGTTTGAATCTTCGAGTTAAGTATGCTAATACCTAGTTTATTTGTTATGGTTAAGGCAGGATTTGAGGCTACGCCGTCAAATTATAGTCTTAGTTATAATAATAATTGCAGTTATAATGATTTATCTGATAACAATAACTATAAAGAATATATAAAAATGTTTTGAGTAGGGCTAATGGACGGAGACGGAAGTATTCAAGTAAACCATTGACGTAAACAATCCCTACAATACAGACTAGTTATTAAATTATCTAACCTTAAATCTAATTATAATATGTTGGTTGAGGTTGCTAAAGTAGTAGGTGGAACTGTTAAGATTACCGGTAAAAAGGCGGATGTTATTTGAGTTGTAAATAAAAAGGAAGAAATTATTGAAATAATAAAAATTTTTGATACTTATCCTCCTTTAACTTCAAAAAAAATCTGTCAACTTGCATTCTTAAAAACATGTTTAACTGAAACTTCGGTAGAAAAATACTTATCCACAAGAGATACTAAATTTAAAGAGCAATTTACTATTATAAACGCTAATTTTAAGTTACCTACTTATTTTAAAGCTTGATTATCTGGTTTTATAGAAGCGAAAGGTTGTTTTTCTATTCGTAAAACGAAAGCACATTTTTTCTCAATAGGACAAAATGACGACGTTTATTTAATAGACGCTATAAAACAGTATTTTGAAGTATCAAATAAAGTTCGTAACCCTTACGGTAACTTCTTTTTTATAGAGGTATACAAGAAAGAGGTATTAGCGAAGATAGTGGCACATTGTACTAACTATCCTTTGTTGGGAGAAAAGTTAGAGTCTTTAAAAAAATTTAGATCTTGCTGTTCCCTTTAGTAAGTGTCGTGTTGTCTTGTCACCATGAAAAATTACATACGTTTTTCGGTAAAATTATTACATTAATTTTGCTAACGGTGAAGCCTTATGTGTTTTCTTAAGGCGGAAAATATAAGGGTCCCCCTCATGTAAGGTAATACCGTGGAAACCAAAGTGAATAAATTTATTCTCGAGTAGGATCCGTAGAGACTAAACGTGACAGTCGAAAGTTTATTAAGTTAAATCATTAGATAAGTTATAGTCCGATCCACTGCGTGAGCAGTGTTGTATGTAAATAAATGAGCAACTTAATTGACCTACTACGTAGTTGCTCAACTGGGCCTTAATAATGTATATTATTACGCATTTGACTATATGCTGGAAACTATGTTTTTAGAGCCTCTCTTACTATTTATGTTATATTATTATCTTTTAAAAATAGATGCGGATAGAAGAAATCTTCTAAACATAAGTAGTCAAAATGGGGATGTATCTGCATCATTTAACACATGTACAAACATACAATCAGCAGAAAACTGTAAAGAATTCTCAGAGACTATACGTCAAATATCTTATGACAATAACGGAGAAAATTCATCTTTTTTTAAATGATTTGCCGGTATTGTAGACGGAGATGGTAATTTCGATTTAAGAAATATAAACAACAAACTGGTACTTAAATCTATTAGAATTAAACTACATGACAGAGATGTCAGAATATTAACTTATATTCAAAACACTTTACATATGGGTAGAATTAGAGCGGATAAAAATAAACCTCATTCTATTTGAATAGTTAGTACAAAAGAAGAAATGTTATTTTTAATTAAGAAATTAAATGGATTAGTTAGACTTAAAGTAGATAGTTTTAAAAAATCCTGCGAATATCTAAATGTAGAGTATGTAGAAGCTAATTATAATATTAGCGAAAATGACCCTTATTTAGCGGGATTAGTTGACACAGATGGTACTATTGTTTATAATTATGCTGGCAATAGAATAGAGTGTAACTTAGAATTTGAAAATAACAAATATACTAGCAAACTTAATTTAGATAATGTTATACCCCATTATAAACCATCTGTTGCTTTTAGAGAATCACATAAGTCTATAACATTTAAATTTCAATCAGTTAAAGGTATGGTTTTTCTATATGATTATTTTATGCAAAATAGGTTATATTCTGACTTTAAATTTTATAGAGTTTCAAAGATAAAACGATTTATAGAAGTTAGAGATTATAAGAATGAAGCTAAAAACAGTACAGAATTTAAAATATATTCAGATTTTATACTGGATTGAATTCAATATAGAAACCCGCTTTGACACAAAGTACCATTTGTCTCCAAAATTAGATAATGATATAGTCCACAAAATAATTTTAATTATTTTTGCATTTCCACTACGTTTTAAGTATGGGTGCTGTATTTGCCTTATTTAGTGGATGATACTTCTGAATTCCTAAAATTTTAGGATTAGATTATAACTTACTTTACTCTAAAGCTCATTTCTGAGTTTTATTCACTGGGGTTAAAAATAACGAAGGGAATAAGGGATTAAATGGTTTAGATGAACATAGGGATATTACCCCTAACAATCGTTCACCGGCTCCGCTTAAAAAAAAANTTTTTTTTTACTCAGTCTTCATCTTCTAAAGAAGATGAAGACGCCGAGGCTAATAATTATGTATTGTATTTTAATGATATAAAACAAAGTAAAAGGGATATATATAGTAAACTAAGGCACAAATCTGGAGTTTACATGTTTATTAATAATTTAACTAATGATTTATATGTAGGTAGTAGTCTAAATTTAACTAAAAGAATGACTAGTCATTTTTATTATGCAAGTACGGATAAAATGAAAACAATATTGGCTAGATCGATGAGAAAATATGGATTACATAATTTCTCTTTAGCTATATTAGAATTTTGTGAAAAAGATGTTATTACTTCTATAAAATTGGAACAAAAATGAATAGATTATTATAAACCTAAGTATAATATATTGAAAATAGCGGGAAGCTCCCAAGGTTTTACACATAAAATTGAAACAATAGTAAAACTAAAAGAACTTTTCAGAAAAGAAAATCACCCAAAATATGGATATATATCTTCTTCGGATACAAAAAAAGCTATTAGCGAAGGTATTAAACAATTTTATATCAATAACTCTCATACTAAAAAAGGTTTAAAAGGAAAATTATCAGCCCAATATGGTATAGGTGGTAAATTTGTTTATTGTTATGATAAAAAAAATAATGAATTAATTTTTCCTTCTATAAACGCGGCTAGACAACATTTTAAAACAAGATGAACAACTATCAAAGACAATATGGATAATAATCAATACTTAAATATTAAAGATGAATATTGAATGTTTCAATCTAAACCTCGTAACAACGGCCCTTATTAGTTAATTAGCCCTGTTCATCTTTCTATATGCTGAAAAGTTTCATAAGGCTTAACTACTGCACATAATTACAACTTTTATACGGGGTAAAAAAAACAAAAGAACATAGACATGTTTTTTTTTTTCAACCCTTAAATAATATCTTTTTGTAATTAACCAGTAAAAATGTTAAGTATATCTAAACAATCAGCAGGAAATCCATTTTTATTGAAAAAGGGGATCCTCAGAGACTACACGAAAGAAACATTAAACTATTGGTTTAATGTTATGATATAGTCCACAGTTACTGTGTAATTTAACTTTCTTCCCTCAACATTTCTTAGGTCATATTAATGTAGGCCCTTTATGATTGATAAATGATATTTGCACAACACTGTATGCTAGAAACTCTATTTGGTACTACGGACTATAATAGACAATTAGCAGGAAACCTAAGAGTTAATATATCTATCTTTTAACTTAAGTGGGATCCTCAGAGACTATACGTGTTGCAACTTAAAAGTTGAAGAAATAGTCCTTTAACATAGTGATATGTTAAATTACATCTTGCTACTTGTATTTTATTTTTTTTATTCATTATGATTACCTCAGTTATAATAATAAAATGTATCTAAAAAGCTTTTGTGATGAAGCTTCATCTGAAACTTCAAATCAATCTAGTAATTCAGAAATAAATAGTAATTCTGAATCTGGACAAAACCCTAATTTTGGGACTGAACAAGATCCAGATGATGATGATTTTGTTAAAAAAACAGTAAATAATAATAACTTAACGACTATTGAACATAAACATAAATTTAACCAACAACATAAATTAAATTTAGCTAATTTAAAATCTTCTACAGTTTCTCCGGTATATAATCTTTTAAATGACAGAGAAACAATTTTAAGAGAATTTTTAAATAAAAGTGGTATATATCTTATTCATAACAACGTAAACGGTAAACAATACGTAGGTAGTGGTACGGATTTAGCAAAAAGACTTGCTACTTACTATTTCCCTTCTCGTTTGGTTGATAATCGTTATATTTCTAATTCTATCTTAAAATATGGACACGGTAATTTTTCTGTAGTTATTTTATATGTTTTAGGTAATACTGATATATCTATAAAGAAAGATATTATTAGTAAAGAACAAAAGTATATTGATTTATATTTACCAGTTCTTAATTTAAATCCTATTGCTGGATCAAGTATGGGTTTCAATCATTCAGAAGAATCTAAAAGACTTATGTCTGAGTTTCGTAAAGGTAAACCTTTATCTGAAAAGACTAAGAAAAGATTAAGTCTTTTATTTTCAGGTGAATTAAATCCTTTCTGATCTAAACACCACACTCCTGCTACTTTAGAGAAAATGAGTAAATCTAAATTAGGTGCCTTAAATCCTATGTTTAATAAGGAAAAGTCCGAGGAATTTGTTGCACATATGTATAAAGATAGAAAAGGTTCTAATAATCCTATGTTTGGTAAAACTAAGTCTGAAGAAACCTTAGCGAAAATAAGAAAAAAGGTTTATGTTTATGATAGTAACAAACAATTTATTAAATGTTATGATAGTATAAAATTTGCTGTAAATGATTTACACATAGCTTTTGAAACAATTAAAAAATATTTAGATACAGATAAAACATATAAAGATAAATACTTTTATTCTGAACTGCAATAAATTTATTTATTTAGTAGCAAGAAAAGCTACAAGGTATGCCACGTAGAATTAGTGATTATCCTGATGCTTTTACAGGTTGAAACTTTATTAGTAGTATCGGTTCTATAATTTCTGTAGCTGCTACAGCATTATTCTTACATATTGTATACTTACAACTTGTTAAAGGTAAAGCTATCTTTGGATACCCTTGAGCCGTTCCTCAATTATTTAGTGATTACTTACGTATACTTAAAGATAAATGTGCTCCAGGATTAGAATGAGCATTACATAGCCCACCTAAACCTCACGCATTTACTAGCTTACCATTACAAAGTAGTGGTATATTAAGTTCTCTTTTTCTAGGTATAAGCTTCTTATTTACTATATCAAACGAATTTATATGTGATGCACCTAGAGCTTGAGGACTTTACTTCCAAGATAGTGCTAGCCCACAAATGGAAGCTTTAGTAGAATTACATGAATTTTGTGTATAAGAGTCAAACTCCGGGGACGTCCTAAAGCTCTAACTACCAAGGATATAAAGTCAATTTTTATCTGGCTTAACTAATAACTAAGGTAAGGTAATAAAGTTAGAGATAGAAGTTAGAACAGCTTAAAATGGAAAATCGCGGATCTAAATCAGTAAAATAATATTTTATTGTATAAGAGCAACGAGTAGACGACTCTTCAGTTTTTAACTGTAAGGTGTACTCTGGCCCTTTGAGAAATCAAAGGATCTAAATAAATATATATATAGCATGAAAATCCTAGCAGGCTCTATTCAAATCCTTCAGGGTGCTGACCAGTTTCGGTTTCGTGGTGTTTCACTTCTACTAAGAAGTTAACGGTAAGCTATACGAAATACGAAGTCTCCCTCGAGAGCTTTATGTAATAGCCGGGGACTTCTGCGTATCACCTAATTTTTTTTTATATTCTCTATGAGAATTAAAAATAAAACCTGGCTGGGTCAGAGTTTGCTTAAATTTATACCGTAAAAACGCGGAGATAAATAGTTTAATATGAATCTCGATTTAATAACATAAGAACTTAGGAAGTAAAGACTTACGAGTTTAAAATACTTACTAGGTAAGGTTTCTGCTAAGCCGGACTTACTTTATTTAAGATTCACACGGTATACGGCGAAATTGTATATATCTTATATTATTGAATAAATATACGGAAAATTCCTTTTGGTTAAGCCTTGCATGACGGAATGATCCTAAATTTGGATCGAAAACGCATTCAGCTAAATTTAACCTAAATCCTGCTTTTTCTGCTAATTTGAATAAGTTACACCCTGCTTATGTGACAGGGTTTTGTGATGGTGAGGCATGTTTTCATTTAGCCATAGGTGAAAACCCTAGATATAAATTAGGTTATTATGTTAATCCTGGTTTTTCTATAGCTTTACACAAAAAGGATGAAGAATTTTTATTATTACTTAAAGAGTTTTTTGGTGGCGTAGGGGTAGTAAAACCTAGTAGTCGGTCTAATATGGTGGAGTATAGAATTTTTGCTATTAAAGATTTAGATATTATTCTAAATCATTTTGACCTTTACCCTTTAATCACAAAAAAAGGGGGAGATTACTTACTATTCAAGGAAGCCTTAGAATGTATTAAAAATAAACAGCATTTAACTGTTGAAGGGTTTAATAAAATTCTGGCTATAAGGGCTTCTATGAATAAAGGGTTTCCCGCAAAACTACTGGAAAAATTTCCTTATATTAAGGGGAAAGAAATTCCTGTGGTGGTAACACCTGAGAGTTTAAACCCTTACTGGGTAGCTGGTTTTATGGACGCTGAAGGTTGTTTCTTTGTAAAGTCTATTTACAATAAGAACAATGAGCTTAGATTTGGGCTAGGTTGTCAAATTACACAGCACAGTCGGGATTCTTTAGTTATGCACAAAATTTGTTCTTTCTTTAACTGCGGTAGAGTTGAAGTATCTAGAATGGTTTACGATAATTATGTTGTAACTAAGTTACCAGATATAAATAAAATTATCATTCCTTTCTTTACAAATTTCCCAATACTGGGTTCTAAACGTAAAGAATTTGAATGTTGGACGGATATCGCCAAAATAATGACTTCAAAAGCTCATCTTACTAACGAGGGATCTGAGAAGATATTAAAAATAAAACATCAAATGAATACATTTAGGAAGGAAGATGATAATAATTAGAAACATTTTGTAGTATTAGCTATAGAAAGTCTAGGATTCATTAATTTATATACCGTACGAGTATATAGTAAATTGATGAGAAATTAACCATTAAATAACTTTAATATCCACACAAATATAAAAAGTAACTACTCAAACTAGCAGGTTTATTTATTGGTATATTAGGTATAATAAGTTTAAAATATAAATGTTCTCTCTGCTGCCTACCGTAAACTAAGTTTTAGTGAAGGAAGCTATAAGGGGGGCGTAAGCTCCCGCGGCTGGGTTTATAAACTTATTATATTCTAATGAAAAAGCGGATAATATTATGTATTACTTAGTTGCTATTTTATTTGCTGTAGGTTGAATACAAGGAGCTATTATTAAAAATTTTGATAGTTCTAAAACACCTATAAGTAACAAATATCTTAACCACGGTATTAATGTGCCTACTCAAAAGTACTCAAAATTTAGTGCTATAAACCCCTTAAACCATAAATTCTTATTTCCTGTACGGACTTATTCTACTTCAACTAATAAAGAGCAAGATCAATATAATACCAAATTGTCCAATGTGAATAAAGATACTATTAACCCTTTAGTTTACGTAAATGCTTATTCTATGAAAAAGGCTATTTTAAAAGAAAACACAGGTAAGTCTGGTATTTACATGTGAACTAATTTACTTACAGGTGATATGTATATAGGACAATCTATAGACCTGTCCAAAAGATTTAGAAAATATTTTACAATTAGCTATATAAAAAGTAGAAAAGAACTTATTATAAGTAGGGCTTTAATAAAATACGGATATGCTAATTTTTCTGTATCCATATTGGAATATTGTGATAGATGTTACCTAACTGCTAGAGAGCAACACTACCTAGACAAATTCAATCCCCAGTATAATATTTTAAAAATAGCAGGTAGTTCTTTAGGTTTTAAACCATCAGCCTCGGCGTCTTCTTTTCAAAGAAAAGAAGACTGAGGCTGCTGCGCTGAGGAAACCAGATTAAAAATAAGTAAAGCATTGAAAGGTATTTATACTGGAGACAAATCTGCTCTATTTGGTCGTTTCCACACAGAAGAGACTAAGAAAAAAATGAGTTTAAGTAAAGCAGGTGAAAACAACCCTCTATATGGAAAAACCCACAATGAGGATACTAAAGAGCTTATGAGACAAAGAGCTTTAAATAGAAAACATTCATGTGAAACTAAGGATAAAATGAGTAAAACACATGGAAACCCTGTTAATATTTATGAAAAATCTTCTTCAAAAGGGTTTGAATTAATAGGTAGTTTTGTTTCAGCTAGAAGAGCTGCAAAATTCTTAGGTATCAGTGGTAGTACTGTTATTAGGTATATGCAGTCAGGGGCTATATTTAAAGACAGATATAAGTTTTCATCGGCTCCGCAGCCTCAGTCTTCATTTCTTTGAAATGACTTACTTTTTTTTAATATATCATAATATATTAAAAAAAAGTTAGCCGAGGCTAAATAAATTTTGAATAACTATGAGTAAAAATTCGCTATATGCTGGAAACTTCTAAAGCCTTAGATACTATATTTTATATATGTGATAGCTCTACCTATAAGGACCTCTATGTTAGACTTCAGTTTACATACAGAGGTAGGATGTAACAATGAATAATCAGCAGGAAACCCATTTTATAAAAAAAAAGGGGATCCTCAGAGACTATATGCGTAACTGGGTAAAGACCCAGAAGATTTAGTCCAATATTTTGACATTAATCGAATTAATTTGAACAATAACTCCCGCTTTAATCTTAGTATTAATAGCTTTCCCTTCTTTTAAATTATTATATTTAATGGATGAAGTTACAGATCCTTCATTATCTGTATTAGCAGAGGGACACCAATGATATTGAAGTTATGAATACCCAGATTTCTTAAATAGTGATGGAGATTTTGTTGAGTTTGATTCTTACTTAGTACCTGAATCTGATTTAGAAGATGGAGCGTTAAGAATGTTAGAAGTAGATAACAGAGTTATCCTTCCTGAAATTACACACACTAGATTTATTCTTACTGCTGCAGATGTTATCCACTCATTTGCTATTCCAGCATTAGGAGTTAAATGTGACGCATAAAAAAATAATGTTTGTAGGCTATTCATTATATGTGCAAAAGAGCCAAACTTCCGGGGAAGCCCTAAAGCTTTAGTAACCAAGGTAATTAAGGAAACTTTTTTGCTGGCCTGATTAATGACTCAGGGTACGGTAATATCACTAAAGATGATGGTAACTGAAATGGGTGATCGCGGATCTAAATCAGATAAGGCTTGCTTGCTTATCTGTAAAAGAGCAACGAGTAGACGGTTCTTCAATCAAGTTTATAGATCCGTCTATTTTTTTTTGATTGTAAGGTGTACTCTAGTCGCCGGGAAACCGGTTCTAGGATAAAATAAACTAAATAGCATTTACTATTTATAAATAACCCTAGATTAAAGTTACTACAACGGCCTGACCTTACTAGGTTAAGTTGTAATACGGATTAAAAAAAATAAAGAAGAGTATTAAAATATGAACCTTTTTTTTATTATTATTTAAACTGTTCCAACAAGTGTTTTCATGAAAACTCTATCCTCTAAAAATAAAATACGACTACAAAAACTTAGAATTTACAAATAGAACTAGTTTAATAGGTTTTAATACGCGTCCAAATGTTAATTTATTCAACAAGAAATGTTCGGGTAAATTAAATTGTTTATCTAGATTTGAATCAGGATTAACTCCATCTAATAAAGATTATCGTCCTAATACTATAGCTTTAGAACATATAAACAAGGGTGATCCTATAACTAGCCAAGTTATTAATAGTGTGTTGCTTAATCAAAAGGTCTCTATAACTCAACAAGAGTTAGATGAGCTTTTATCTCTTCCTAAGGTTAATTTTGACTTACCTCTTACAGATCAAACATACCCTGCTTTATTGGGACTAATTGGAAAACCAGGTTCTAAGCGTAGTAAAGCAGGAATATATGTTTTTTCTCACAAGTATTCAGATAAAAATTATGTAGGATCAAGTAACGATTTAGCAAGAAGATTCAAGCAATACTTTGAAAAGAATGCGCTATTTTCTAACAAAGATACAGGAATGTTGTTACCTATGTTAGAAAAGGAAAACTTAAAAGCGTTTACTTTAGAGGTAACAGTTATACCTTCTTCTTTTTCTAATTATGCTCATTGTTTCTTAGAACAATATTACTTATTAGATAAAAGATTTAATCTTAATACTCACAAGATAGTAAATTTCAGAGTTAATCAAGGATTTAAAATTTATTTATACGATAAGGATTGCAAAACTTTATATTATTCTAGTAATTCATTAAATGCTTTTTGTGCTGACCTGGGTATACACCACTCTTCTTATAAAAAACACGTAGCTAATAATGAACCTTATTTAGGCTATTTCCGTATATCTAATTACCTTATTCCAGAGGCAGTACCTGCAGATTTAACGGAAGTCCAGGTACGTGAATTTATAAATAAACAAAGAAAGGATAGTTTAAATAAATTACATATATCTTATGGTAGTGTAGTAGAGGTATTAGATATAGATACAAACACTATTACAACAATAGATTCAGTAGCAAAAGCAGCATCTAAATTTGGTGTTAGCAGATCTACAATAAGAAGTTATATATCTAGCGAAAAACCTTACAAAAATCGTTACATATTTAAGTTTATTACCTCGTAGAGTGATGGTGACGATTTTAGGTCGAAGTTGTAGAACGACCCAGGTAGATTAAATCAATTTTCTGTTTTAATTAACAGATTAGGAACATTCTATGGTCTGAACAATGGCCAAAACTGTAGTAAACCTACGGTTATAAATCATCAAATTGACGGGAAAGCCCTAAAGGAATCTTAACTAAGTAAGTATGGTAACATAACTTATGGCACAGGTAATGACTCGTGGTACAGTAAAATCAAGATTTATTATTCAATGGGCAATCCGCAGCCAAGTACCAAGTATAAAATATTTGGTATGCAGTTCATCGACTAAACGGTGGTTGGTGTTATTAGTAATAATAACGCTTAAGATATAGTCAGCCCCCTCCTGAAAAGGTGCAGAAAAATATAAGTATTCTTTATATTTTTTGTTAAATAGATATATTCATTTGGTTGATTATATTTAGGGATTTCTACGATAGTTTGCTAAACTATTTTAATGTAAAAATAAATATTTATACAAAAAAGTAAAGCACTTGTCATTATTGTAGTGTTTGCATTATACAATTAGTAGAAGTGTTTTTAATAAGCACTACACATTTGATAAACGTATTGGTTCAATAGCTGTTATATCTCTAACTATCCCTGCGGGATGGTCCCCTAGTTTTTTTTTAGTAATTTCTCCAAGAAATTACGTCAAAAAAAACAAAGGGGGGGCAGACCAAAGGGTCAGTCCCCTTTTGGGGACTAGAAATGATAGTGCAACTAGATCTTTTAATTCAATAAGACCTTTGGCAAATAATCCAGAGTCTTTAGCGTTAGATCATATCAATAGTGAAAAACCAACTAATTCATCCATTATTAATAAAATATTATTAAATCAAAATTTATCCATTACTGACTCTAAATTAGAAGAATTATTAAAAGTTAAAGGTGTTGAATGGGATCTTCCTATATCTACACCGGAAAATAAACAACTTTTAGCTGAGTTAACAGGTAAATCTAAATATAAAGGTTTCTCGGGTGTATATATCTTTATACATAAAAATACAGGGCATAAATACGTAGGTTCATCTAATTTATTAAGACGTAGAATGGATTATTATTTTAAAGGTGATTTCCCTTTAAGTGGTAAATTTTTACCTTTACTTCACAAAGAAGGGGTAAGAGCTTTTAAATTAATAATATTTAAATTAGATTGTACTATATTTAGTTATAAAGACTGTTTAATCTTAGAACAGTATTATTTATTAAATAAAGAATTTAACTTGAATACATTAAGAGTTGTTAACGCAGGATCTTCAAAAGGTGATCCAGTATATGTTTATGATTTAACTTGTAGTACTCTTTATTATCATGCGAAATCTAAGATTGAACTAAAAAGAGTATTAAAAATACACACTGAAACTAGTAAAAAGTTTGTAGATTCTAAAAAACCATATCTTAATAAATTCTTACTATTAAGCTATTATATACCTACTGCTTTAACAAGCAATATTTCGGTGGATAAATTAGTAGAGATTATGCAAAAAGAAAGACAAGATATGTATATATTAGGAACTCGTAGAAGTATATCAGTAGAATTAGAAATTAAAGAAGGAAATGCCTTTGTAAATTCAGATTCTATAGGCCAAACTTTAAATTTCGATTCGTTAACATCTTGTATTGAATACTTAAGAGAATTAGGTTTAACGATTAAAAGAGCCACTCTTACTAAATATATAAAAAATGAAAAAGTGTTTCATAATTTCTTATGTAAATATTCAGATAATATTTTACCGGATCATTTTTCAGAAGTAGGATTAATCATTGATGAATATAAAAAATTAAAAGTAGATGCAGACTTAGATACCTTAAAAGTGAATAGAAAAAATAAACCTATTTTAGTAAAAGGTCCGGTCGCCACAGGTGGCTGGACCTGCTCTGCTGGAGAAAATTTTGAGAAAGAATTTGAAAGTATTACGGATACAATTAAATACTTTGGTACTTTAAATATCAAATTAGATAGAAAAGCTCTTTATCTTCATTTAAAAGACGGTAAAAAATATAAAAACTATTCTTTTTCTCGTAAATAACTAAATAATAGTTAAAAAATAACATACTTTCTTTGACTGGTGTAGTAATAAGTATTATTCAATTACATTAAATAAACGTAGAAATAATCCGCAATGTTCAGAAATTTGTGGTATCTTACACAGTTCTATGCCTATTGTTGTAGAATCAGTATCGTTAGAGAAATTCTTATCTTGATTACAAGAACAATAGTAGGATAAAACCTATGTAATAACTCAAGATAAAATTTATGTAATATCTAAAGATAAATTTTATTAAAATAATTGTTTTGTACAATTAACATGTTATGAAAAGTAATTACCTTACATAATAGTATAACAAATCCCAGTAAATAATTGGATATTTACTGGAAAATTGCACTGTATATTTACATATACACAGCAATTAGGGGAGAAGATGAATCTATTATTCATAAAGCCCTTTATAACATAGTAATGTTATAATCAATACCTATTCCGCTTATTTTTTTCTAGGGGGTCCAAACAGGCCCCGAGGGGGCTTACCCTTTGGGAAGATCCCCGATGGGGCTCA